CGCAACTTCAAGTTCCAAGTTCTGTGTGACAGAAGGAATCCAGGGGGAAATAGTCCAAGTTTATTAGAAGCGGAATGGATGAGTGAGTGAGTGAAAAGGGCTTGAAACTTTGCGTTGCAGAGGGCAGAATAATGGAAGAGTGGCTGCTTTAAGGAGCCTCCTACCAGACCAAGGGGAGGTGGTGCAGCTGCATTCAATCCAGGAACATTATTCAGGCTTTTAGCCTATAGGCTCCTAGCTCGCCATCAACCTGGCCTGCATAAAGAACAGGGCCAAATGAATTCTAGTGCGCACAATCACATACAATTATCTCAATGCTAAACAGACTTAATTCAGCAATATAGTGCATTCCAATCTTCTGAATATAATCAGTTCAAGTACATACATACAGTTATATTGAACATGAATCAAAGCTCAAACATCAGAAATAAATCTGCATCCATGAGTAAAGTGCAGGGCGGCCAGTGATTAACTGGACTGCATAAAGTGCACTGGGATGCGTAGCACTAATAAACATTCAAAATGTAAACTCTGCATTGCACTGCTTACATTGAACAATCACCAAATCAGTCAATATATGAATAAATAATGTTGTCACAGACACAGCGGTACATGCAGTTAAATATGTTCTGGAAACGGGCACAGAGACCAACCACGCTAACCACTCCATTAAAATGAATGCAGCGGCTAACCCATTGAAATGAATTGGGCGAAGCTAATGCTAATGCGACTTATCAATTCCGTCTTTCAAAATCTCAGTCGAGCTTCATTCAGCTTTGCAACGGTTCTGGTAGTCGGCTCCTACAGTTTAACAATGGTATGAGTTTAGTTTAAGGCGTTTAAGGAATAAATTCTGCATAAACCATAGACCACCTGCAGCACTGTCTCCCCATGCGTGCCCAACTACCGGCTTTATGCCAACCAGATTGGCCGTGTTTCGTCACGTGACGCAACTAATCACATGACTCACGCAAGGACAGCTTGAGAATGACATGCGTTTATCACCTGGGTTACAAGTAGCAGTAGTAGTTATATACACTCACCGGCCACTTCATTAGGTACACCTTGCTAGTATCGGGTTGGACCCCCTTTTGCCTTCAGAACTGCCTTAATCCTTCGTGACATAGATTCAACAAGGTACTGGAAACATTCCTCAGAGATTTTGTTCCATATTGACATGATAGCAACACGCAGTTGCTGCAGATTGGTTGGCTGCACATCCATTATGCGAATCTCCTGTTCCACCATATCCCAAAGGTGCTCTATTGGATTGAGATCTGGTGACTGTGGAGGCCATTGGAGCACAGTGAACTCATTGTCATTTTCAAGAAACCAGTCTGAGATGATTCGCGCTTTATGACATGGTTATCCTGCTGGAAGTAGCCATCAGAAGATGGGTACACTGTTGTCGTAAAGGGATGGACATGGTTAGCAACAATACTCAGGTAGGCTGTGGCATTGACACGATGCTCAATTGGTACTAAGGGGCCCAAAGTGTGCCACGAAAATATCCCCCACACCATTACACCACCACCACCAGCCTGAACCGTTGATACAAGGCAGGATGGATCCATGCTTTCATGTTGTTGACGCCAAATTCTGACCGTACCATCCGAATGTCGCAGCAGAAGTCGAGACTCATCAGACCAGGCAACGTTTTTCCAATCTTCTATTGTCCAATTTTGGTGAGCCTGTGCGAATTATAGGCTCAGTTTCCTGTTCTTAGCTGACAGGAGTGGCACCCGGTGTGGTCTTCTGCTGCTGTAGCCCATCCGCCTCAAGGTTCGCCATGTTGTGCGCTCAGAGATGCTATTCTGCATACCTCAGTTGTAACGAGTGGTTATTTGAGTTACTGTTTGCCTTTCTATCAGCTCAAACCAGTCTAGCCATTCTCCTCTGACCTCTGGCATCAACAAGGCATTTGCGCCCACAGAACTGCCACTCACTCGATATTTTCTCTTTTTCGGACCATTCTCTGTAAACCCGAGAGATGGTTGTGCGTGAAAATCCCAGTAGATCAGTGGTTTCTGAAATACTCAGACCAGCCCGTCTGGCACCAACAACCATGCCACCTTCAAAGTCACCTTTCTTCCCCATTCTGATGCTCAGTTTGACCTGCAGCAGATCGTCTTGACCATGTCTACATGCCTAAATGCATTGAGTTGCTGCTATGTGATTGGCTGATTGGAAATTTGCGTTAACGATTAGTTGGACAGGTGTACCTAATAAAGTGGCCGGTGAGTGTATGTGTGTGATAGGATACATGTACTCTGATGTACATAACTAACAGACTGTTTCCCTTCAGGAGGCTATGCAGCGTCATAAGCAGAACCTCTGAACTTGTTCTGCATCTCACTGAACAACAGCTTTCATTGTAACTGTTATTCTATGCTTGGAAGTATCAATGCACTTGAAACACTTGCTGCAGGTGTACTGTGCAGCCTGCCAATGGGCTTTGATCCCTCATGGGTTTTTTTTGGAGCTGTTGTAACAGTGAACTTTCCCCACTGTGGGATCAATAAAGTTATCTTTATCTTTATCTTTATGTTGGGTTCTGCCCCGTAGCAGCAGCCATGGCTGCCTTCCTCTTGCTGTAGACTGGAGGAGGAAAAGGAAGGAAAGGAGGAGGAGGAGGAAAGGAGGAGGAGGAAGGGCTGGCAGACCCTGCTGGAGGGTCATGGCTGCTCCTGTGATGGAATAGGCTGCTCTGCCACAGCTGGAGCAGAGGCGATGCCAGTTCCCTGCTCCAGTGCAGTCCTCTCCCAGCTCTTCTGACAACGAAGGAACCTCAAACACACAGAGTGACTTCACGCTGCTGTTATGGCCAAGCCTAGGGGAAACCTGGTCGCAGCATGAGGCCCTTCTCCACTCTTCCCACTCCCAAGAAGGCCAGCAAGATGGGTGCAAGCAAATTAACAATTTTATTTCTTTACACAATGGAACAGAGCCCTAAACCAACAAAAAGAATATCCTAAACAACACTCTTCTAGTTTTATCGTTGAACAGATATACCCAGACCTTAACAATACTTATATTGCTCTATGACACACAAGATCCTACTCATTTTACATACAGCAGGCTGGCTTTTGTTGGGCATGGGAGAGAGAAGAAGAGGGCGAGGAGGAGGTTTCCCTCAGTTTAAAAAGAGCAGCTCCTTGGGTTGGTCCAATCCGATTGCTCCATCTTCCTCCACCTCAGCCAATCGGACAGCTCCACCTCTTCTGGGGAAATAGATGCTGTCCAAACACAATCAAGCAGGGGAGGAGAAAAGACTTCTGCCAGACACACATCAAAATACAATAATATGACCAAGGGTCATAACACTGCTGAGTTTTCATTGAAATAAATCATAGATTACAATAGCTTCAAATCAGTCTCCACTGGTTCAGCTCAAAGAGGTAATTGGTGGTCTGAGCCGTCAGCCTCAGGCTCACCAGCACTGCCTCTCTGATGGCCACATAGTCGGTCAGGATGAGGGACCACCGAGTCTTGATTATATGCACATCAGAGACACTTCGATGAACATTTAACACACCCAGGTGTTTGCAATCAGATGAGCGGATATAAAAGTTTACATAAAATGGTGCAGAAGATACCGGCTTTGGCACTGTTGGAATCCTCCAACAGTGCCAAAGCTGCCATTGTTGTCAGTGGAGCAGTGCCAAGAGAACGGGTTTCCAGAAACCTCAGGACGATGACTGGATCATCAGCCGCTTTACGTTTCAATTCGCTTAGAACTGTGCACTGAGCTGCGGCCATTATTGGAGCGCAACACGGCCAGGAACCATGTCCTACCTGTGCTCATACAGGTGCTGACACACTGGGACTTCCTAGCCACAGGGTCATTTCAGAGGGAGCTGGTCGACCGATCAGGACTGTGCCAGTCGACAGTGAGCAAAGCCATGCCAGCCGTGTGGGATGGAACTATCCGAATGTCAGCCAGATATATCAAACTGCTATGCACTGCAGTTGAACAGGACGACATAAAAGTTTAATTTGTAGCGAAGGCCGGTTTTCCTGATGTAATGAGCTATCGACTGCACACACATTGCTGTAGAGGCACCATCACAAGATGCATTTGTTTATGTAAACAGGAGGCATATTTATTTAATCAATGTACAGATCATCTGTGATGCACAAGTACAATTAAGTAACATTGTTGCAAGGCGGCCTTGATCAGAACACATTCTGACCAACAGCATGGTTGAGAACAGGCTACAAGCTGGCACAGTGCGGGATGGGTGGCTTCTTGGTGAGTAAGTCATTTAATTGTGTAGTAACCTGATTTGCATTGGCATCAGTATTTGTTATTTTGTTAATACGTTGAAGTATGTGAATATGAATAGTAATTGAGTTCATTATACTTTTTCATAATGTTTAAAAAGGAATAGTTCATTATTATATGCAATTCATGTGTGCAATTAAAAAAAAAAAAAAAAAAAAAGAAAAACTAAAGGAGAATTAAAGAAATTAAAGGAGTCAATGTTCAGACAAACATAGTTCAGAGTGTTCTCCTGTCACGAGCAGGTGGCGAAAGGGTTACATTTTTCGGGGCTCGTCCGGGATTGGTTGTAAATAGTTGTTTGGGCTGTAAAAGAAACAAAATGGATGCTTTTGAGATCAAAGCTTGGTGTAAACGGAAGCAGGTAGCTTGTGAGAATGCACTAGTGATTAGTGATGTTATTTCTAATGTTTCTGATGATACACTGCTTCAAGCTTTGGGTATGGTAAAATGTTTAGGAACAGCTAACATTGTTGATCGATGTCTAGATACAGTTTCCAAAACACAGTTTGTTTTGATTCAAACGTCTGCTGATGTCACAAAGCAAACCATTCCTGATCATGTTGGGCTTCCTGGAGAGGCTGGCCCTTGGCCTACCCATGTGTTTGTTGCTGTTGAGGAAAAAGAGGGGTTTCAAGACAAACTGTTGTCATTTCTGAAGCACGAAGGGAAGACTTTTAGTGATGTTAAGGGTCTGCTTAATCCTTCACCTCTGAATATGAATGCTGCTCTGATCAATGCCCTAAATTCATTGGTGGATAAATGCAACAGCGCCCCTGCTGATCAAAGTTACCGCAAGCTACGCATGTTCTCTGGCATAAAACCTACTCCCAGTGGGGAAGAAGAGTATGATGCATGGGCAGAACAGACAATGCACTTGCTGGAGGAGTGGCAATGGAATGACAGTGTAAAGAAACAGAGGATAGTGGAAAGTCTAAAAGGTCCAGCTGCTGATATTGTGAGGTTTCTAAGAGCACAGGACCCTACGGCTATTTCATATGACTACATGCAAGCGTTGGTAACGGCTTTTGGGACCACTCACAGTCCATCTGATCTTCTTGTTAGGTTCAGACACACGTTCCAACGAGAAGGGGAAAAACTGTCTGCTTACTTGTTTAGGTTGGATAAACTGCTACATTGTGTGTTCAGGAAAGGAGGAGTGAGACTGTCGGAGATGAACAAACTTCGCATTGAGCAGGTTGTCAGAGGTTCATTGCCCCAAGACATGATTGCCCTTCGCATTCGCATGACACACAAGCTGCGAGAGCCTCCAAATTTCAATGACTTGCTGGAAGAGGTCAGGGAGGAGGAGGATATGCTTCAAAGTAGGAATGATGTAAAGAGCACAGTTATGTCCAAGACCGTCACAACTGCTTCCAAGCCTTCTCTTGAAGCTGCAGAAAATGCTGAATTGGAGATACTGAAAAAAGACATAAATGTTATGAAAGCTGAAATGATTAACATGAGGGCTGCTACTGCTGCACCACAGACAGGCAGTCAAAGCCAACAACCTGAACTCCATGTCAAGCCAAAGTACAGAGGTAACGAAGTCCCATGCAGGTCTAACAGAGATGGAGGAATATTCTGTTACAGATGTGGGGAGGACGGACATTACAGACGGGAATGTGAAGGTGAAGAAAACCTCGAGAAAGTCAACAAGTGCCTCATCAAACTGACAAAGAAGTCGGGAAGCTACCGCGGGAACCAGTAAAGGAACGGACTGACTTCCTGGTGGTTAAAACACGTTCCACCAAGTGCATCAACCCAGATGAGAAAGTGAAAGACACTATACCTGAAGGCTTTGTTGGGCCCAGCTCTGCAGTTCCATTGCAGATTGAAGGCATTTATGCTAAAGCTATACTCGTTGGTTCTCAAGTGACTTTGCTGTACAGATCCTTCTACGAAGGATATTTGACACACCTGCCATTGACCTCCATCAGTACCTTACAGATATGGGGTCTGAGTCCTGCTGATTACCCCTACGATGGCTATTTGTCACTTAAGCTGGAGTTTTTGGAAGCTGATGTTGGAGTGACTGAGACCATTGATGCTCTTGTGTTGGTGTGTCCTGACCCAGTCGTGAGAGGTGACGCTCGGCACAAACACACCCACAGTAAGATGACTTCTTAAGAAATGTAAAGAAATGGGAGGAGACAATTTCTTAAATGCTAAGCACATTCATCCTGTTTTCAAAGAGGCATTTGAACAACTGCCAGAACTTTCACCTGGTGATGACCACAAGAGAGGGACTGTGTGGTTCAAGCAGACTAAACCTGTAACCATACGGCCTGGTGGGGTCGCTAGAGTGACAGGTGTGCCAAAGTTCCAGGGGATGCCAAGTACTCAAGCGATTCTCCTAGACTCCCCTGATGAATCTGAAGAGGAGCAAAGATTCCCTGAAGAACTCTTTGTGAGATCTGAGTTACAAACATCCACTGTGGTAATGTCTAAGAGAGTCACTGTGCTAGTGAGAAATGCATCAGCAAAAGAGATCACATTGACCCGAGGAATGCCAATCGCTCACCTCTTTTCAGTTGATGTGATGCCATCGCCTCATATGAACAAAGAACCGAAGGTGAAATCCACTGAACATTTAACCCCGTCTTCTTTCAACTTTGGAGATTCAACAGTCTCTAAGGAATGGAAGGACAGATTAGTACAAAAAATGATGGAACGCAGTGAAGTTTTCTCCACTCATGAGTTTGATGTGGAATGCTGCAAGAGTACGCAACACACAATCAAATGCACTGATGACAAACCATTTCGAGAGAGATCTTGCCGGCTGGCGCCTGCTGATGTGGAGGCCCTGAGACAGCATCTGTCACAGCTGAAGGATGCTGGAATCATCACCGAGTCACGAAGTCCCTATGCTTCACCCATCGGGGTGGTGAGAAAAAAGAATGGGAGAATAAGGATGTGTGTGGATTTCCGAACACTGAACAGACGCACTGTTCCTGACCAATACACAGTGCCAAGAATCGAAGATGCCCTGGCCTGCTTGAATGGAAGCAAATGGTTTAGCGTGCTTGATCTACGAAGCGGCTATTACCAAGTGCCTATGGATGAGAGAGACAAAGACAAGACTGCATTCATTTGCCCTGTTGGTTTGAAAGGATGCCACAAGGTGTGACTGGTGCTCCAGCAACCTTTCAGCGAATCATGGAACAAACTGTAGGGGACATGAACCTGTTGGAAGTCTTAGTCTATCTGGATGATATCATTGTGTTCGGAGCAACACTTGAGGAACATGAGACAAGACTGTTGAAGGTGCTTGACTGTCTTAAGGATGAGGGTCTCAAACTGTTGCTGGATAAGTGCCAGTTTTGCCAACCGTCAGTGACTTATGTGGGGCATATAATCTCTCAAGACGGAGTTTCTACAGATCCTAAGAAGACAGAAACTGTAACTACATGGCTGAGGCCAAGCACAGTGACAGAGTTGAGGTCATTTCTTGGATTCTGTGGCTATTACAGACGCTTTGTCAAGGATTTCTCCAAAGTAGCCCATCCATTGAACCAACTGTTGTCAGGATATGCACCTGCCAAGAGGACAAAGACCAAACGAGACAACACCTACCTGCATCCATCGCAACCCTTTGGCTGCAGGTGGGATGACAAATGTGAAGTGGCATTTGATACACTCAACCAGAGACTTTGCAATGCCCCTGTGCTGGTTTTCACTAATCCGCAGCTGCCCTATGTGCTCCATGTGGATGCTAGCCGAGAAGGTCTAGGTGGAGTGCTGTACCAAGATCAGGGAGAAGGGTTAAAACCAGTCGCTTTCATTAGTCGAAGCCTGTCCACCTCGGAGCAACACTATCCTGCTCATGAATTGGAATTTCTCGCTTTGAAATGGGCTGTTGTGGACAAGTTGCATGATTACCTGTATGGAGTGAAGTTTGAAGTGAGAACGAACAATAACCCGTTAACCTATGTGTTGACGTCGGCCAAGTTGGACGCAACCGGTCACCGCTGGCTGGCAGCATTGTCCACTTACGATTTCAGTCTCAGGTACAGAGCAGGAGTTCAGAACATTGACGCAGATGCGTTATCTCGTCGCCCACACCCCACAGCAGTTAAAGAGCCAGAGTGGAAAGACATATCTGCAGCTGGTGTGAGAGCTATGTGCCAGATGTCGGTGGTGATTCAACCGAGAGATCAGTTTCCCGGTGGGGCAATTGACCACTTAGGGCTCTCTGCACATGCAATTCCTCAAGCTTACTGTAACTTGTCTTCTCTGAGTGTCAAAAACATGCCTGTTTTGAGTACGACTGAGTTGTTGGAGGCTCAACAAAAGGATCCTTGTATTGGTGAGGTATGGTTAGCCCTCAGCTCTGGGGACCTAACTCAAGTGGATAAGACAAAGCATCACGCCTGTCGTCTGCTTTTGAGAGAGTGGGATAGATTCAAGATGAAAGAAGGAGTCATGCATCAAGTAACAAATCCGCCTGGCAAGCCTCGGCGCACTCAATTGGTTTTGCCAGAGACATACAGGAAGATGGTGATGAAATCACTGCATGATGACTCAGGTCATTTGGGTCTTGACAAAACCTATGGTCTGATTCAAGAACAGTTCTACTGGCCACGGATGAAGTCCGATGTTGCAGAGTACTGTAAGGCCTGTGAAAGGTGTATAAAAAGGAAGACTCTGCCACTGAAAGTTACTCCACTGACTCATTTGCAAAGTGATGGACCACTAGACCTTGTGTGTATAGATTTCCTGTGTATTGAGCCAGACTTGAGCAATACAAAAAATGTTCTAGTTATCACAGATCACTACACACGGTACGCTCAAGCTTTCCCTACAAGGGATCAGAAAGCTTCCACGGTGGCTAAAGTGTTGATAGAGAAGTACTTTGTCCATTATGGTCTGTCGAAGAGGATGCACAGTGATCAGGGGAGAGACTTCGAGAGTCATCTTATTCATGAGTTACTGAGCACACTTGGGGTCGAGAAATCAAGAACTACACCTTATCACCCTCAGGGGGATCCCCAGCCTGAGAGATTTAATAGGACACTATTAAACATGTTGGGCACCCTGGAGCCAAACAAGAAGAAAAAGTGGAGTCGGCACGTGGCACATCTTGTCCATACCTACAATTGTACTTCAAATGAGGCCACTGGGTTTTCACCGTATTACCTCATGTTTGGTCGTGAGGCTGGCTTACCTGTGGACTTGTGTTTTGGAACATCCAGTGATGGCACACGGAAAGAGACATACCAAAAGTATGTAACCGATGTGAGGAATGAGTTGCAAGCTGCCTATGAACTTGCAGAATCGGCTGCTAAACAAAACAAAGGCAACAAGCAGAGATATGACCAGAGAATCCGTTTCTCTCAACTGCTGCCTGGAGACAGAGTCTTGATTCGAAACTTGGGATTACAAGGGAAGCATAAGTTGGCAGATCGCTGGGCTTCAAATCCTTATGTAGTGGAGAGTCAGATGTCCAACTTACCTGTGTTTCGGCTGAGACCAGAAGAAGGAGTTGGAGGTATCAAAATCCTTCATCGGAATCATCTCCTGCCTTTAGGACAAAACATAAAACGGGATCATGTTCCTGACATTGATCCTACACCACGCAAGAGAATTCTTCAAAAGAGAAACAAGAGGAGAAAACAATGAAGCAAAGACACAGAAACTGATGAAGAATCTGGGAAGAGAGATGTGGAATCAGATGATTGCAGTCACCAAGAAGATATTGACTCTGAGGAAGAGGAACGAGAACTGTGGTATAATCTGACAGTTAATACACCCAGGAACAAAGCAAGCAAAGGGGTGTCGGAACCTTTTAGTTTAGATCTGGATATTGCCTGGAATGATGGAGTTGAACAACCAGAGGTGTTGGAAAATGTTGTGGATGAAACAGAAATCAGTACAGATGGGGAGTCAGAATCTGTCAAGACCACAGACAATGCTGATTTTCAAGAGGGAAGTGATACACAGAGTCAAAGCTTGACAGAAAATCTGCTGGATGCAGAAAGTCATGATGACACAGAGACTGAAACAGAAACTAAGACCAGGAGATCTCAGAGAGTTAGAAGACCTCCGTCTAAGTTGACATATGACACATTAGGACATCCAAGTGTCTTAACAGTACCAGTTGTGAGATATGTTTCTTTTTTCTACAAGTGGATTAGTGCCACTGTGATGACCTAATCATATGTTAAGCATGCACAAAACACTCATGTGTTGTTCTATATGATGTTTACTAAGTCATGAGGGCATGTCTTAAATTTGGTGACGGGAGAGTGCAATAACCTGATTTGCATTGGCATCAGTATTTTTTTTATTATTTTGTTAATACGTTGAAGTATGTGCTTACTGCCACCTGCTGATCGAATGTGAAATTGGAGGTGTGTGATTGTGTATAAATTTAAATAATAGTAATTGAGTTCATTATACTTTTTCATAATGTTTAAAAAGGAATAGTTCATTATTATATGCAATTCATGTGTGCGATTAAAAAAAAAAAAAGAAAAACTCAGGGAATTGTTTGTTATTAGAATCGGAAGTAGGAGACCGGAAACTCACTCGGGGGAGACACGGCGGGCACCGATGGTCGAGCGCATGTAGATCGCCACCACGGGTAAATTCATGTCCGGACTTTTGTCTTTGTGTGATGAGTGACACTAGAAAAAAGACTTTTGGCTGCGTGTAGGTGAGCACCCGCTTATAGGCGAGCGTTGTACTCGTTTGTGGTTTAAAAGTGTT